TAATATCCCTCTCCCCCTCCCCTTTCTTTTTCTTTTGCACTGCCCCTATACTTATGTGGTTTTTCCACTGTATTTCTCTCTGGAAAAAAAAGACCAAATCTTTCTGCTCTTCAGAAAACTCGCACACGCCCCTGCTTGAGGACTCGGTGACGCAGATGACCCCGGAGGAGCACTATAGACGCATGATGTCAGCACTCAATGAGCACGGCACGTTTGAAGAGCAGCAGCAGCAGCGTCTCTACCAGCTGGCCAACAGCATGGCAGTGCCCAGCCACGGAGGTACAGGCTCCTACAGATGGGAGAAGGGGCTCACTTTGCCACTTGGCACAAGTCTTGTAAGGTGTCCCTAACCCCTGTGTGCAGGCGAGGAGGATTTGGGGGCTGCGGTGCTGCATGTTTTATCATGCAATGAATGCAGGTGGGGCTAAAGAGTATCCTACAGACTGCTTCTCCCACCAGCTCTGTGGGGGCATCTACCCTCAGCCATCTATAAATGCTGACACCTTCTGTAGCTATCTGGGGGGGGCTATGCATTTTTTTACTGGATTACTAGATTAGCTGCAGCATCACTACCTTGTATTTTGCAATGGCGGTGAGGGGGGTCCTTTTCTTCCTTTGTTTCAAGAGTTCCTGTCAATCTGGGTGTTCAGAATCTGTGGTGTAAGTCTTCTTCGGGGGAAGGAGTGTTGGCGTGATGCAGGGTGGGTGTGAGATGCGGGCAGTGCCAGGTACTCCTGCCATTTAGCCTTGGGATCTGAAGCAGCAAGATGATGTTGCAGGATTTAGTTAAGCATTGATAGCGTTAGGTTTAGAAAGTTTGTGCAGTAGTTGCTACACACAGAAGTAACATAAATTGGTGTTAAAGATCTTTCACCTTAATGAGAATTAGATGACTCTGTGATTTTATGGACAATTAAAATATGCAGGTGAAGACAGCTCAGCAGCCAAACGCTGCGTCCTGTGGGACGGGTTCATCCATGGTATCATCTACTGAAAGCAGTTATGTTTATGTTGCCAAGGATCGATCTGGTCCTTCACTAGCTGAAACCAGATCTGCTGCGGAAAAGTGAAGGGTTGCTGAAAGGGAGAGAACTTTCTCCATACCCGGTGTCTGCTCACTTGGTGAGGGCTTCCTTGGAGCACTGCTGGAAGGACCCAGCAGGTTGCAGCTTCCAGCACTAAGAAACTGTCCCCAGACCTTGCCGGGATGGCGTGGTCCTCGGAGGCTGAGCTGGGCACCAGGCATAGCTGAGGCACCCTCTGGCCCTGCTTTGTGTAGGGTGTGTTGTGTGCCTGTCTGTCTGCTGCTTGTAGGCGTTCGCAGCGCAGGAGTATTCCTGCACCGATGCCTGCGTTCGAGGGAAGATGCTGCCGTTCTGCTCTTAAGAGGAGGCTGGTGCTTGTCACGGAATCACAGAATAGTAGGGGTTGGAAGGGACCTCTGTGGGTCATCTAGTCCACCCCTCCTGCCGAAGCAGGGTCACCTACAGCAGGCTGCACAGGACCTTGTCCAGGCGGGTCTTGAATATCTCCAGAGAAGGAGACTCCACACCCTCCCTGGGCAGCCTGTTCCAGTGCTCCGTCACCCTCAGAGGGAAGAAGTTCTTCCTCATGTTCAGACGGAACTTCCTGTGCCTCAGTTTGTGCCCATTGCCCCTTGTCCTGTCGCTGGGCACCACTGAAAAGAGCTTGGCCCCATCCTCCTGACACCCACCCTTCAGATATTTGTAGGCATTTATAAGGTCCCCTCGCAGCCTTCTCTTCTTCAGGCTGAACAAGCCCAGTTCCCTCAACCTCTCCTCGTAGTGGAGATGCTCCAGTCCCCTCACCATCCTTGTAGCCCTCCGCTGGACTCTCTCCAGTAGCTCTTCATCTTTCTTGAACTGGGGAGCCCAGAACTGGACACAGTACTCCAGATGAGGCCTCACCAGGGCAGTGTAGAGGGGAAGGAGAACCTCCCTCGTCCTGCTGGCCACACTCTTCTTGATGCACCCCAGGATCCCATTGGCTTTCTTGGCAGCCAGGGCCCACTGCTGGCTCATGGTTAACCTGTCGTCCACCAGGACACCCAGGTCCCTCTCCGCAGGGCTGCTCTCCAGCAGGTCCACCCCAGGCCTGTACTGGTGCATGAGGTTGTTCCTCCCCAGGTGCAGGACCCTGCACTTGCCCTTGTTGAACCTCATCAGGTTCCTCTCTGCCCAGCTTTCCAGCCTATCCAGGTCACGCTGAATGGCAGCACAGCCTTCTGGTGTATCTACCACACCTCCCAGTTTGGTGTCATTAGCAAACTCGCTGAGGGTACATTCTAACTCTTCATCCAGGTCGTTGATGAAGAAGTTAAACAAGACTGGGCCCAGTACTGACCCCTGGGGGACACCACTTGTTACCACTTGTCAAGGAGGGGAAAATCCAAACCCTGGTCCTGAAGCAGCTTCCTCATAGACAGATGGCATTATCTGCTGCTGCTGCCGTGTCCTGGGGCTGGAGTGATGTCCTGAGGGGCTGAGGGTCCTGCGGTACCGGGCTCTGATGGGTCCCGCGTGAACTGGGGGGTTGCTGGGAGGTTCTGCCTGGGCGGTGGGAGAAGCGCTCGGCTGCAGCAGCCCGGGCTGTGCCTGGAGGGGGCACTCGGCAGTTGCCGGTTCTGCCCTGGAGCCGCTCAGCAGAGCGCAGGAGCCGTGAGCACCCATCCATCCCCCGGGCTCAAGGCTCCTCGGCCCACCGGGACGCTGCACCCTCCCTCGGGCGAGCGAAGCCTGCCGGCGCTGGCTCGGCTTGGGCCGGAGTAAAGCCGAGCGCTGTGCCCGCGTCCTCTGATGCGGGAGTGAGGGGCGAGGGAAGCGACTCGGCTGTCTGGATCCGGCAGAGCTGGGGAGATAGAAGAGGTGATGCTGTTCCAGTCTTGGGAGCAGAGGGTTGAAGCCTCGCTGAAAAGCGGTGCTGTGCAAGAATCTGTACCCCTGTGCTGCCGTGAAAAGCCGGAGGTGGAGACTCAGTAGTGGGAAGACTGCTAAGCAGGTATTCTGTATTGCAGTGCTGGACACGGATATCCCACCCCAGGCGTGGAGGGCAGACACGTCCCCGCCTGGGTGATCCAGGGAAGGAGCGCAAGCAGCGTCGGCGAAGCCTCCAGCATCCCGTCTGGAGCGTCAATCCCCAGGGCTGCTTGTTAGGTTAATGAAGAGGCTGTCTGCTTTTCCACTCTGTTTGATTTGATTGGCTTCTCTGGGGGCAAGAAGGCGATTCCTTGCGCTGTGGAGTAAGGATTTGCTCACCAGCAAAGGCGTGGCGTGAACCTGTGCGGAGGTACACCGTAGTGGGCATGGCACGTGCTTCTGTGGCACGTTCAGCTGTCCCAGATACCCACAGAGATGCGAAGCTCCTGCGGGCGTGAGACGTAGGTACGGGGCAAAGCCACGCGCCGCAGGGCTGGAGTTCCCACACGTGCGTACACGGTGACCACAAGCACAGTGTGCGAGAGGACAGTGTAGAACACGCATCACGTGTGAAAGGAGAACACGTGCAGACATGCAGAGGCTGAATATTCAGCCATGACATGCAGGTCTGTGTAGACCACAGAATCCCAGAATGTTCGGGGTTGGAAGGGCCCTCTGTGGGTCACCCAGCCCAACCCCCTGCCCAAGCAGGGTCACCCAGAGCAGGCTGCACAGCACCGCGTCCAGACGGGGCTGGAATATCTCCAGAGAAGGAGACTCTTGAACACAACAGAGCGCGTGCCCAGCACAAAACGTGTTCCGTGTGCCGGTATTGCGACAGACAGTCGTGACAGCGCTGAACCCGGGCACCGGCTGGCGGCTGGGAGTGGGCTGCAGCCAGGCAGAGAGCAGCTGCCATCGCTCCCTGCTCCCCCCGTGAAGGAGTGAAGTAGCTCATTGCGTTAGAAGCCTGACGTTATGATTATGATTAAATTGTCTCGTCAGCATTTGTTCGGGGAGGGGGGCACAGGGAGGTTTTGGGGTGGGCAGGGGGGAGGAAAGGAGTCCGCACAGACAGACGCTCTGGTGTAACACTGACAAGACAAAACTTCTTGTATTTTGGGTTGTCTCCACACCACAGCGCTCTGGTTGGGCTATAAATTATTAGTGCCAGTACAAAGCGCAGTTTATCTGCGGGCTCGCATGGAGGCACCAATAACATTAATAATTTAAAAAAAATGTTAATAATTTAGAAATCTTTTTTTTTTAATTGCTTTTCAGCCCCCCTCCTCCACCCCCGTTCTCCCAGTGGCATTCATACCACATTCTGAATTCAGTCTGTCTCCGTGCCTGGAACCTCCATCCGCCAGCGTCCCCCTGTCAATCAATCTGATTTCCCAACTGTCAGAGTGCAGGATAGGGGGTAGGGGCGCAGGGGAGGGAAGGAGGGGAGAGGAGAGGGGGTGCGTGCGGGGGATTGTTGCGGTCATTCAGGATCAATGCGGCTTCTGGGACTGGCTGCGTGCCAGACTGCTAAATTACAGGCGCTGTGGCAATCAGGAGTGACCTGGGTTTTTCAGATAATTAATTTATAAACATCGAAGGTGCACGGTCCCTGGCTCGGAGAATTCTCTAGGCTTTTTTGTGCGAGCTGCTGGGGTGTGTCGTTTCACTATTTCTTACAGACTTTTGCAGTTTGAAGCTGCACGTCGTTTTAATGTTTGTCCCCTCAGTTGGGCATGTGGGGACGGGGACTGTGCGTGGGTGAACGTGGCTGGAAACACTCAGGTACCAGTGTCCCTCTTACTGCCAGCAGAAAAAGCTGTGTAAGCATTTCCACCACAGCTTGCATCGCTCCGTGGGGCTTCAGCCCTGACCATCACCAAAATACTTGGTGATCGGTGAAGCTCAGGCTGGGCTTGAGGAATATGGATGGCTGGGATTTCCAAAACCACAGGAAAACGGCGTGGTGGTATGAAGGCAGGCAAGGAGACGGAACGCGTGTCGTTACCAGGGTCGTGCAGCGCTCCTGCATTAACCCAGCTTTATGAACCGGTTGTGAGGAGAGGGCTGATACGCTGCTGGGTGTGGAGTGCTTTGAAATCTCAGTATATGAGTTCATCCTGACCAGGGTTCATTAAGAGAAGTCTTCCTCTCCTCCTGTCCCCAGCTGCGCTTTGGTTTCCTTCCCCATGTGAGGGAGGGTGCCTCTGAGCACGCGTCTGTGCCTGTGCCGTTGCTGGATCTCGTGTGAACGGCGGCAGAGGGTTTGTTCTGCCTTGTAAGCAAGTTGTGTGCAGGGGGTTTTCAAAAAAGTGTAGGAACTAAGGGTCTCCTGGTGCT